ACTGTAGTAGAGCTCTNGTTGTTTTAGATTTCTTAACTAGCGCAGTGCTAGTAAGAGAGCAAGACAGAACTCAGCAACCAGTTTACTACTGTAGTAGAGCTCTGATGGGGCAGATGAGAGATAACCAAAGATGGAGAAACTAGTCCTAACTCTAGCTACGACAGCAAAAAGGCTTAGACCATACTTTCAAGCTCACACCATTGAGGTCCCAATGAACTGGCCAATGAAGCAGGTGCTGCATAAACCAGAATCTTCAAGAAGGCTAGTCAAATGGGTCATAGAGCTCAGTGAGTTCGATATCACGTACAAACCCAGAATCACAATCAAAGGGAAAATATTGGCAGATTTTATCGCAAAATTCACTACAACCATAGAAACACCTATGGAGGTAACTCAGCTAATACCCAACCCCCCACATGAAAGCTTTTAGTAATGGAGCTGCCAACGCCCACGGAAGCTGTGCCAGGTTGATTTCGACCTCCCCTGATGGAATCGATGTCGAGTATGCCCCCATATTCGAATTAAATGCTTCAAACAACGAAGCAAAATGTGAAGCTGTCATTGCTGGACTCAATCTGACCCAATCAATAGAGGTAGAACAGTTCGAAATTCGTAGTGACTTCTAGCTTGTTGTAAAACAAATATAAGAGACCTATGAGGCTAGGGGAGAGTGGATGATCCTATACCTAAAAAAAGTGTGGGAACTAGTAAGGAAATTCATACAAGTCAAAATTAAGCATGTCCCCAAAACTAAGAATTCTCGAGCAGACGCTTTAGCAAGGCTTGCAACGACCTCTCAAGAGAGCCTGGATAGGTTAATCCCAATAGAGCACCTAGCTAAACCATCCGTAAGCCATGAAGACAAATAAATGTTCCCTTTATTAGCCCAGCTGAGCTGGATGGGCCCAATCAGAGAATACCTTTAAGATGGAACTTTGCCAGCAAATCCCAAAGAATCCATGAAGCTAAGAGACAGGTCATCCAGATTCACAATCTTGCAAGGAAACTTGTATAAGCGAGGCTTTTCAGCACCTCTTCTTAAATGTGTAGGAGACAAGGATTCTAATTACATCCTAAGGGAAATCCACAAAGGCATTTGTGGTAATCATATCGGAGCTCAAGCTCTAATAGAAAAAATGCTGAGGCAAGGATACTTCTGGCCCACTCTGCTCAAAGATGCTGTAGACTTGGTTAAAAGGTGCAAGGTCTGCCAGTTGCACACCAACGTCCCGTATTGCCCCCTAGATCTCCTTACCTCGGTGGTAAGCCCCTGGCCCTTCCAACAATGGGGGCTAGACATATGTGGGCCTCTTCCCACTAGTACTGGACAATGTAAGTTCGCCATTATTGGGGTAGATTACTTCACCAAATGGGTAGAGAAGGAGCCCTTGGCGACAATTACAAAGCAAAAAGTCCAAAACTTCACCTAGAGATCCATAATCTGCAGGTTTGGAATACCTAGAGCAATCCTCTCGAACATGGGAAGAAATTTGACAATTCCAAGTTCAAGAAGTTATGTGCCGAGCTAGGAATAAAAAATTACTTCTCTGCTCCAGCTCATCCTCAATTGAACGTGCAAGCAGAAATGACTATTCGAACCATAAAAATGGCTCTAAAGACTAAGCTTGAAGCATTAAAAGGGAAATGGGTGGAGCACGTCCTAGAGGTGTTGTGGGCTTACAGAACCATAGAGAAGACAACAACTCAGGAAACACCATTCGCTTTAGCTTTCAGAACTGAGGCAGTGGCACCTGTAAAGGTCGATATTCCATCCCCCAAGGTGGAGCTCTCAGATCTCGAGCACAACGATGAGTCATTCCTGCTTAACCTCAATCTCTTGGATGAAAAGAGGGACAAGGCCTTACAATGCATTATGAGTTACCAAAGAAGAATAAAAAGATACTACAACAAGAGGGTCAAACACAGAAGCCTCAAAGCCAGGGACCTGGTACTCAAAAAAGCTTCTTGCGAGAAAATACCCCACTCATGGAAAGCTAGGACCCAATTGGGAAGGTCCTTACATCATCTCTAAGGTAATCAGACCTGGGAAATACAAGTTGCAAACAGAAGAAAGGAAAGTCTTACCCCAATCTTGGAATGCAGAACAATATTTGAAAACTTTTTTTCAGTAAACTCTTGTAAGAAGGTTATCATCAATAAAATGACAAGATTACATCTCAATCAAGCATTTCACTAGCTGCTTAAAGCTAAAAGATGAGCTCTCTAGCTAATAAATATAGGATGAGTTTTTCAACTCATGAAGGCAAGATGAGCTCTCTAGCTCATAAACAAGCAATGAGCTTTTTAGCTCATAAACAAACTATGAGCNGCCAATCTTGGAATGCAGAACAATATTTGAAAACTTTTTTTCAGTAAACTCTTGTAAGAAGGTTGTCATCAATAAAATGACAAGATTACATCTCAATCAAGCATTTCACTAGTTGCTTAAAGCTAAAAGATGAGCTCTCTAGCTAATAAATATAGGATGAGTTTTTCAACTCATGAAGGCAAGATAAGCTCTCTAGCTCATAAACAAGCAATGAGCTTTTTAGCTCATAAACAAACTATGAGCTATACAACTCATAAAAAAATAATGAGCTCTTTAGCTCATATACAAACGATGAGCTCTTTAGCTCATAAATAAATGATGAGCTATCTAGCTCATAAATAAACAATAATCTCTTCAGCCCGTATATGAACGATGGGACCTTCAGCTCACAAGCGAGCAATAGGCTCCTTAGCTCATAAAAGACGAGCTCTACAGCTCATAAACATAGCAGCCAACAGAGTAAAATTGCAAGGCAGAAAAAAGAGATTTTTATTCATCAACACGNACTCACAAGCGAGCAATAGGCTCCTTAGCTCATAAAAGACGAGCTCTACAGCTCATAAACATGGCAGCCAACAGAGTAAAATTGCAAGGCAGAAAAAAGAGATTTTTATTCATCAACACGATGGAGTACAACGAAAAGAAAAGGAAAAAGCCCTAAGCCCCCTCCAGGTCTACTCTTCAACTCAAATATTTCCTCTTCCAAACGAGCATTCACAGCTTGCAGGCATGCATTCTCTTCCTTCAGCTCGTCACGTTCTTTCTCCACTTTTGTGAGTAACTCCGAAAGCTTCAACTCAGTAGCAGAAAATAAAATACCATCAAAAGGGGAACCAAACGACTGAGTTGAGAAACCACTCCTCCTACATTTCCTCAAAGAAGTGGCAACATCCTCTTCCTCATCTAACTCAGTAGAAGAGGAATCTATATCAAGAATGGGAGACAGAAGGTGTAAGATAGCATCCAAAGTAGCAGCAGAAGCTCCAAACCAATGAATGTTTTACGGAGTGACAAGCAAGAAGAAAGGAACTGCCTCAACATGAGTCACTTAGCTGACCCTCACCAGCTCTGCCGGGGTTTGATTAGGGGCACCTGCACAGAAAAAGCACAATAAGAACCAATCACCATATTTATAACAGAACTGATCCTAAGCCACTACCTCTGTGCGAGAAGCACCCTCAAGAGCGAGGGACCCGAGAACGAGAGCGTCGCTGTTCAACAGACCTCCAACAATCCCCAGAGGCAAAGAAAAAGCACTGGATGCATCCTTCAGGAGAGTTGGGAGCATCGAGGATGAGCGGAGAGTCGAAGTGGCACCTCCATCTGAAATAACTAAAGTAGGGAAATGTGTCGTAGTCAAGTTCGTAAAAGTAGAGAAACTCAACAATAGTAGGAAATTCACTGTTGCCTTGTAGGCACCAAAAAATAAAGAAGCTGATCATAGCACCCAATCCTTTAGGAGAAAGACGAGAGGGGCACAACCCAAAGAAAGTAAGAATCCACCCAATGGAAGGATGGATGGGTAGATGAGGACCCATCTAGAAACGCCTTCAAAAAAGTAAATTTCTGGTTGGGGGAGAAAGTTGCAGGGCTCATCAGAAGTTTAGACTTAGAGGAGTAAGTTAGTAGGAAGAAGGTATTGCCTCTTGATTTCTTTTAACTTTATAGCGGTAACCACAAAAGGAAGCAAGAAGTTAGAATGCCACGTCATGCCAATCGTGGCTTGGGCTCATTATTTGAACAAGGGAGTAAGAGAGGAAGCCATGAAAATCAGAAAAGAGATAGAGAACACAAAAAAAAAAAAAAAAAAAAAACGGGGGAAAAGNGGAAATCAGAAAAGCAGCAGCTTGTAGTTGGAACACAAAAAAAAAAAAAAAAAGACTCGGGGAGCATGCGAAACATGAAGAAGAAAACTCCAAGATTTTAGGCAAGAAGAAATTCCAAGATTTGAAGGCAATAAGAAATCCCAAGTTTTATGGAAACAATAAGAAAATCCTGAGTTTTAAGGAAGCAAGAAACTCGCGAAGACGAGGAGATGGCTCCTTAAACTTCCAAAATCATGATGGTGGAGGTGTTTTAAGAAAGTGGGTGGGTGGGCATATATAATGATAAAAAAGTCAGTGCTTCATGCTAAAGGAGCAACTTAACTCTGTTAAGCTTAGCTCAGACTAGGTAGAGCTCAGGAACAAGTGACTTAGTTCACAAGCAACTCAGCTCACTAGGTAGAGCTCTTCAGCCTAACATAAGCAGAGCTCTTCAACTCACAGGGATGGTCTCTTCAGTTCACTAGAAAGTGAGCTCTTCAAACCACAAGATCTTTCTAGCTAGCACCTCGGCTTAAACCACGGGCGGACTCTTGACCTAATTAATTTGGCCTCATACTTCAAAAAGAACTAAATTCTCCCCGAAGCAAGGGGCAGAGGGGAATAGAAATAATACAAGAGAATAGAAAGAATGCAAAAAACTAAAAAGAATACAAGAGAATAGAAAGAATACAAGAGCACAAAAAGAATACTAGTGCACAAAGAATGCAAGAGCACAATACAACAATCATAACTACATCAATTTAATAGCAAAAATTCAAGAACATTGGACAAAACATTTTCTCATTTCTCAAAATAAACAGTTATAGAGCCATCTACAAGAAAGGAAACAAAATAAAAGAGGAATCTTAAATCCCTACAGTCTGGTCAGCTGGAGCCTCAGACATCTCAAGAACCTTGGGAGCATCAGTTGAAACACGGACAACTGGAGCCTCATGTAGCTCAGAAATTTGGGGAGCATCTGTTGGAGCAGGGTCAGTTGGAGCCTCAGACGACACAGGAGCCTCGGGAGCATCAGTTAGAGTAGGTTCATTAGGAACAATAAACAACTCAGCAATCCTGGAAACAGAAGTTAGAATAGGATCAATAGCTACAGAGACAATTGGAGCAGACGAAACCACGTGGCAAGGACCTTGGTTGAAGAGACAAATACCTCAGCACCTTTGGGAGCAAGCTTAGAAGTAGAGGGGACCTAACCTCAGCCTCTTTCTCAATGCTTGGCACCTCTTCCTTATCCGAAGGGGGATCAAATTCAAAATTCAGGTCTGGATACTTCTGCATAGCTTGATCTTAGAAAGCAAGATACCTAGTGGCCCACTTTGTGGTAGCTTCATCCTCCAACTTCGCAATCAGAGCATCCTTCTTTTTAAAGACAGTTCTCTCAACCTCAATCTCTCTCCGCAGAGTGTCGTTTACTTTAGCCAAGATGTTGTATTCTCTCTTCATGGCCTCATAAGACTCAAAAGCCTTGAAGTCTTCTTTGCGAGTTTGAACCCATTCGCCAGATTTCAACCTGAGCTCTTCCTTGGTCTTCTTGACCTCGTCCTCAGTTTTTCCTTTTTCAGCCTCCAGATCCTTATTAGCAAAAGACAACCTCTCTACCTGTGCTTATAGGTCCTGCACCTGAGCCTTGAGGTCATCATTAGAGAAAGCCAACTCGACAACCTTGAGCTCAGAAGCCTTCAATGCTTTGACTGAGCCCTCCAAAGTCCTAATCCTACTTGTCAGAGTGCTCACATGAATGGCTAGCTTGAGGAAAATACAACCAAAGGCTAGAATCAGTATGAAGTAACCATGCAGGATGAAACTTGGAGAAATAGAAGCTTATCGAAGTAGCACCATACAAGGAGGTAGTAACACAAAAGGAGAAGGGCATTGCGGCAACCTTCTAGATGTTGGACTCAAGAATTATCGAGGCGATGGCCTTAGTAGTAAGCCTCGTATTATCGATAAGTGAACCCTTGCCTTTCTCAATCTTCACATCCTCCACCAGCAGGAGACCCACGCATGATATGGGTAATTGACTCAAAAGTCCCCCTCGACCTCTACCAACGAAGGGGATGTTGAAGCCCTAGCTTGCTCAAGAACTCCTTCAGTAGAGGAAGGTAAGGTCTCTTGGGAGACTAAGATCCGTGCGACCTTCGATGAGCTCGGTGGAGGAGTAGAAACCACTTGGGAGGGTGGAAGAAGCAGGGGGCACCTCTGTCCTCTGCACTTTGTCAAGAGGGGAAGAGTTGCTTCCTAATCCAACTTCTACCTTGCACTTTTTCCCACTCGTATTCTTCCTTAACAGGGCAACCTTCGCCTTCAAAGCTTTCGCACCTAAAGCAATTGAGCAAGAACCTAGAAACCCAAAGCAAACAGATCAGAAAGGAGGAATAAGTAAAATAAAAGTTAAGGATAGAAGGGAGAAAGAGTTACCTGCAACCTCCTTCACATCAGCAACAAAAATGGGAATAGGAGTCTCTATAGTCACCTCGGGAGGGCTGAACCCTGGCTTGGTAAGCACATAATGCTTGATCAAGTTAGAATACTTCTTCGGGCGACCAGCTTCATGCCCTAGCAAAGCAAGCCTATCCTCAGCTCCTAACTCAGGGTGGATACCTAAAGCAACCCAAGGGAATAAGGTCAGCAAAAAGAAAAATAAAATGAAGAAAGTTGAGCCTGCCCTAAATAAGGACTCACCAAGGTTATCAGGACCTGACCAAGAGCGTGGGACAAGAAGGGTATCATTGGCATTGCTCAGATCAAACTCCCACTCCTCTGATACAAAGAAGAATAGTTTCTTCCAATTCTTGTGAGAGCTGGGCATGTCAGTAATCGAAGCTGGGGTCTTCACCCGTTTTGAGATGTACAAAAATCCATCAGGTTGGAACTTAACGTTGAAAAATTTCATGAGCAAGGGAACCGAAGGGGTGCTGATTTTTTTTTTTTGAAAAAGACAAGGAGGCCCAGTAAGACTCCCTAGAAGTTGGGAGAGATCTAACCAAAACAGATGTTGAAGGATAGATTTGATGAAGGGATGTACAGGAAACTTAAGCCCATTCTCTAAAGAGGTTAAAAAAACAAGCCTTCCCAGGGACCTCAGAATCATACTTAATATCTACAGAAGGAATCCAGTAACGCATGCCATTGGAAAAACCAAACCTTGTGAACAAGACACTCATAAGAGGAGGCATAACCTCACTATGTCCAATGAGGTCTGAAATGTGAGGAAAGGGTCCAAAACCCTCAGCACTACCTGAAAGTCTAGCTCTATCCTTTTGGTCTTTCCTTTTTGAGATCGTTTAGAACTCGAAGGAGACCTTGGTATGGTCAGAGACAACTCTGCCCCTCTACGACATCAACCCCAAAAAAATTTTCTATTTCATCACCAACATCCCCCAAGTCATCCTCCTCTACATCTGGGGACCTATCACCCATGAGGGAAACATACGAGGCTGTAGCTCCAGAAGAGGCAGACATAATTAGGCAAGAGAAAGGAAGTTTGAAAGAACTATAAAGAAGGGGAACACGAGTAAAGCAATCCTTAAGGGCCCAGTGGTCAAGACACCAACAACCAAAAACGAAGATTCTGGTAGTGGAGAGGACAAGGTAAGACCTCGATTCCTAAAGTAACAAAAGCTAAAAAGTCTAGAAATTAAATAATCATCTCGAACTCGAGGGATCCAGAACGAAAGAAAAGAAGAAGGAACAGGGCAAGGGACGTACATAGCCGAGAACGATTGATAAACCAGGAATCAAGAGAAAGTCTGGACAGATTAGTTCAGCTATTGCTACACTAGTGTGTCTCATGTCCCGTGCAAAGCATGGGTTGAGTTACTACGATTAAATAAAAAAATTTAAATGAGTTACTTGGGTAAAAAGTTAAAATATAAAGGAAAACTTTTATCCACACCCCTTGTAGATAGGCCTAACTTCAGTGACACCCTTTCCCGATTATGAAATTTCACTGCACTCCCTTATAATTCATATATTTATTTCAACTACATCCCCTACCACGACAAACCGTTACTGACAACTAAAAAAGTGATGATGTCATCTTGTTTTTCTTCTAAAATACCAATTTTACCTTTTTCTTATTCACACCACTTCTGATGCACCTTCGTCTCCGCAACACCAGCACCTCGACACCACCTCTAACCAGCTAAACAAATATACAACAAATTCTTTTTTTAAAAAAATCAAAAAAATTTATTTGAAATAACCAAAGAATTACAAGAAACAAAAAGAAAAATCCCTATACACACCATGCTTTAATCCTTCAAAACTATCAAAAAATAAAAACTCTACTTCCAAAGCAAGACCTTGCACTCACACGACTATCTTTCTGACCCAGTATTGCATTATTTCAATAGATTTTGGAGATAAACTGTGAATACCCAACATTGAAAGAACAAGGGCACCTCAACAGAGTTTAATCGAACCCTTAACATGATTCCTTACCCATGACTTAGTGGATTTCTATCCAATAGGCAAAGGCATACATCGTCTTCATAGAGCTGCAGTCAAATCAAATTCAATAAAAGTAAGTTCACAATTCCTCAGTACTTCATATTTGTGAAATTCTACTTCAGACAATTAAGGTAGCAACATCAACCCTATACACAATAGTTGAGTCAAAAAAAAA